TCAATAATAAAATGATAACTAGAAGAGTTACCTTTTAGTTAAAATTAAAAAACACTTCTAAATAATACTAGGTTCAAAGAAGAAATGATTATGAAAGTTAGAAAATATTTTTGAATGATAATAAAAAATTCTACAAATCAAAATGTGTGAAATGAAGTTAAAGCAGTACTTGGAGAGAATTTTATACCTAAAATGCCAACATAAGTAAAAAGAAAAGGTAATCAAATTTAAGAATGTATAAAAATGATAATACATCATGACAAAGTTGAGTTTATCTCAAGAATACAAGGTTTTAATATAGAAAATTGAATTTAACATAACTAGATGAATGATGGGAAATCATGTAAATTACTAATTTACACGTAAATCATATAATTATTAATATATTATAATTATTTTTTGTTTTAAAGATTTTTTAAATGTAATTTTGTTTCTCAAATTATTTTTCTCTGAATAAATCATTTAGTTACAATTGGCCATATTTTTTACTATAAGTGTGTATCTTTGGAAATTCTTCAGAAGTAAGAAATATCTAACAAAAAAAATTTTTTTTTTTTTACTTTATCAATATACAATGTGGTTGATTTTTGTGTCCCTTTACCAATTCCTCCTTTCCCCCTACCAGCCCATCAACGTCATACCTGTTCACTTGTCTTAACAAGTTCAGGGAATTGTGATTGGTGTGTCTTCTTCTCCCCTGCCACCCACCAGATTGTATATTTATTTATTTGTTATTTTTAGCTCCCACAAATAAGTGAGAACATGCAGTATATCTCTTTCTGTACCTGGCTTATTTCACTGAATATAATTTTCTCTAAGTCCATCCATGTTGCTGTGAATGGTAGAATTTCATTTTTTTTTTTTTACAGCAGAGTAGTTAGTATTCCATTGTGGAGATGTACCACATTTTCATTATCCACTCATCTAAGGATGGACTCCCAGTGAGTTTTCATTCGTTTCTTCTTCCAGGTACTTAGACAGTGTGACCAATAAGGACAGCACGTTGCCTCCCATCCCTCACCTGCACTCCCTGCTAAGCGATGACGTGGAGCCTTACCCCGAGGTAGACATCTTCAGGCTCATCAGAACTTCCTATGAGGTGGGTTTTGCCTTCTAGCTCAGTGTTAACAGCCTTCCATGATTGATCTGAGGGGCCCAGCTGGACATGAGTCCATACTTCCATTGCTATTCTGTCTTAGCCTGTATTGTGCTGCATTAATAGAATACCACAGGCTAGGTAATTTATAAAGATCGGAAATTTATTTCTCACAGTTCTGGAGGCTGGGAAGTCTAAGATCAAGGTGCCAGCAGGTTAGGGCCTTGTCTCTCTTCTTCCAAGATGATGCTTTAAACACTGCATCCTCTAGAGGGGAGGAACACCATGTCCTCATATGGTAGAAGAACAGAAGAGAGAGAGCCCACTCCTGCAACCCTTTTTATAGCAGCATTAATCCATTCATGTGGGAAGAGTCCTCTCATTAGACCCCACCTTGCAACACTGTTGCATTGGGGATTAAGTTTCGACATGAATTTTGGAGGGGACAAAACATTCAAACTATAGCATAACCCATGGGTTCACCTGCTTCCTTATACACTGTGAGAAATAGTTGCCCGAAGTAAGCAGCTTCCTACTAGTTGATAGCTTTGGTCTCCAGAGATGGACACTGAATGGAGCCTAGGACTTCTAGTGGTTCTAATACCATGGTATCAAATGGCATGACCAACTCTGGCCCTCTGGTTCTTTACTCTGCCCTCCCTAAAGCCTGATCTAGTAGCAGCTCAGCTTCAAGTCTGGGTGGTTTGAGGAGGGGCTGTTGAGAGCAGGCATGGGGAGGTTGACCTTCACAGATCAGCTCGCTTCCTGTTCCCGTGCTGAGTACTTAGGACTTCTCTCAAGTGGATAGTCAGAGACATTTAGACCAGCCTAAAGTAGATCAGAGTCCTAGCATTCCCCTAAAATTGCTTGGGCTGGATGAGGGAGGATGCCTTCTGGTCCAGTCCATGACCCTGGACTCATCCCGATTTGCTGCTGAACCTCAGAATAGAACTAATAAGCCTCTCAAGGTGAAGCAGCCACAGTGCCATGTGCCCCCATAGCAGCTGGGGGGGGGCGGGGCCCCGAGGACTCAGTGCCTGTAACACTTGATAATTTCTTCATTTCCTGACCCTCTGCTCTGTAAACTTTCATAGAAGTGATTATTAAGAAAGAGAAAGCACGAATGGTCTGCAGTGATCATTAAGAAAGCAGAAAGTACAAATAGTCTGCAGAGCACACTGTGCCCTCTGCAGATGTTTTGGGATTGCTTGGCTGTGGTGGTCAGTATTCCAGCTAGCAACAAACTGGATAAGAGAGAAATAGTGAGGGATGGAGTAAGGTCAGAAAGTCTCCCTTGCAGTGAAAACTTTAGTGCTTTTAAAAAAATTTGGTTTGGATGTAGAAACCTTTTCAAAAATGTGTGTCCTTAACTCAATGAAAGATAGACTGGTAATTATTTTTTAAATTTTTCATTGAGACTCCATGTATATTAAAATGAGACATTTTTAGTTGTGTTTTAGAATCATAAAGTAATGCATGATTATTGTGGAAATTGCAGAAAATATGAAGGAAAACAACTCATCCTAGGAGCATTTCACCATATCTCCCTCAAGTATATGTTTGTGTTTGCAACATACACTTGAAAAATAAGGTCCTACTAGATACTGCTTTGCCACATTCTATTTTTCACTTAAAATATACCATGACTATTTTCAAACATATTAAATGTTGTTTGAAGGCATGATTTTAATTAATTCTTTGTATTCTGCT